AAAAAAAAAAAAAAAAAAAAAAAAGAAGCTACAGAACAGACATGTCTTCTCTGAGCATCAACTTCCATCACAGGAAACAGATGGTTTAAGTAGCTATAATGTTATAGTAAAACAAACAAGGCCCCCTTCCAACTAAGAGGCAAACTTTGTAAAGTGCTAACACCCAGGAGACTTCAAGCCTGGGAGGCTACACACTGAGAGACCCACCACACGGTTATTTCATTTAATCCTCACAACCATCACGAAGTAGAGATCTTTAGCCCCATTTCACAGACGGGGAAGTGGGAGTTTCAGAGTCAACTAACTTTTCTGAGTCCTCTCAGCGTGAGATAGGGAAGCGGCAGCTTCCATCCAAGGACTAGAGGCCACACCAGCCCCGCCCCCCCCCCCGCAACCTGTGACTTACCCCAGAGTTGTTCATCGGGTCCCTGCTGGGGGGACTGCTCTGCTCACTGGGGGGTGAAGGTGCCTGGGTGGCAGGGCTGCCCTCCGGGTCCCCCTCAGGGAGGATGCCGCAGCCAAACACGAAGGAGGCCAGCGAGTGGCAGTGGGTGAGCAGGACCAGGGCCTGGATGAGCTCCGCCAGAGACCAGCTGTGCTCGCCCGTCTTCAGCAAGGCCTGGAGGGGAAAGGGGGCCTGACCCTGAGCTGACTGCCTGACATGCCCCAGCCCAGCCCCCGTGCTCCCTCCGGGACCGGCCTCTCTGCCCACTGCACCTGGATGTGCTCCTTGGTGATGAGCCACGGCCGGTGTGCCAGCAACTTGTTGATCTCACTGAGCTTGCGCAGCTTCTCGGGGGCGTGATGAAGGCCCAGCAGCCACTCAGGGTCACCACCGGTCTGCAGAAACTCAGCCATGTGGGAACCCACCAGGTAGGAACACTGGTGGCGGGCGGCAGCCTGTGGAGGGGGTGGACAGAGCCTCGCTCAGGGTGGATGTCCCGTGCAGGCCCCCTCCCTGAGTTGCCTGAGGGGCAGGAAACTCAGGTTCTAACCACAGCTCCACTAGTTTGCTGTCCTACCTTAGGCAGGTCAGCTGACTCTTCTGTGCCTCAGTTTGCTAATTCGTAAAGCAGGCACTAAAAATGCTTCTCTTCTGGGGCACCTGGGTGGCTCGGTTAGTTGAGCATCCACCGTCAGCTCAGGTAATGATCTCATGGCTTGTGGGTTTGAGCCCCGCATCGGGCTCTGCACTGTTGCTGCGGAGCCTACTTGGGATTCTGGCTCTCTCCTCTCTCTCAGACCCTCCTCCACTCACACTTTCTCTTTTTTTCAAAATAAATGATCTTCAAAAAAATTTTTTTAAATAATAAAAACGCCTGTCTCCAAAATCCAAAATTTTGTGGATAATCAGATAAAACTAGGGCTTTCCTCTGCTCAGTGCTGCCTCTCCTCCTGGACCCAGGAAATGAGTTCAGGAAGCACCCAAGAAGAAATCGAAAGACCGAGTCCCCCCACAACGTGGCCACCAGTACAAGAGCTGGGCTCAGACAGGCTCACCATGATGGCAATGTAGTGGCGCCAGGAGCTGGCCAGGGGCCCATCTGTGTGCAGCAGGAGGTAGTGCAGGCGCCAAAAGCTGCTAAGGTAGACAGGGTGCAGACCCATCACCACCGCCAGGTTGTCCACCCGCCCGGAGGACATCAGCGCCTCCAGTCTTAGGTGCTGCTCCAGGCTCTCTGCTCCCTCCCGAAGGACCTGCCAAGCAAAGGTGACCAGGGGGTGGGTTCCCCTCCTGCCCTCCACACCAAAGAGACCAACACATTCACTGCACTGGGGCTGAGAAAACTAAAAATAACCACCACGTCCAATAAAGAGAACGCGGGGAGGAAAAGAGAATTAAGTGATTTCCTTTCTCAAGGTTACAGATCTAGTAAATGACACAATGTGGATTGAAATCCTGATTAGCAACAAAGCCTACTTATTTTCTCATTATAAAAAAGGACTGGTTATTGGGGCGCCTGGCTGGATCAGTTGCGGGGGAAGAGTGTGACTCTTGGTCTTGGGGTTGTGGGTTCAAGCCCCATGTGGGATGTAGAGATTACTTAAATAAATAAAACTTAAAAAAACAAAACAAAAGAAGACTGGTTATTTACAGATGAAAACATAAAATACAAGAACAATACTTGAGTTTAAAATTCTGGGCTAGACATAAATAATCAGCAGGTGGTTGTTTACTTTCCATTTACAAAGGGTAGAGAGGGAAGGGGGAGAGGGATGGTTAGATATTTGCCAACTTAGAAAAGCAAAGAGGACGAAAGAAGAAAACATTTGTTTTTGTTCACGGAAGGCTAAAGAAACAGGAGGAAATGTATTTTTAAATTTTGCTGCACAAGTATTTTGAGGATAATCCCACTGCGATCAGCCCCACACCAGAATGTCAGCTCTATGATGGCAAGGATTTTAGTCTGTCTTGTTCTCTGCTGTACCCCCAGTACCTACAACAGTGCCTGGCATAGATTAATCATTCAATAGATATCCATTAAATAAATGAATGAATGAGGAGCGCTTGGGTAGCTCAGTTGGTTAAGTGTCCCAATTCTTAGTTAGTTTTGGCTCAGGGCATAATCTCACGGCTCATGAGTTTGAGATCCACGTGGAGCTCTGCAGTGGCAGCGTGGAACCTTCTTGGATCCTCTCTCCCTCCCCCCCCCCCCCCCACCCCGGGCTCATGCTCTCTCTCTCTTTCTCAATATAAATAAATCAACTTTTAAAATTTTTTAAAAGATTAGTGAACGAATGATCCGACTCAGTGGATTAAAGATATATGTCATGGGGTGCCTGGGTGGCTCAGTCAGTTAAGTGTCCGACTTCGGCTCAGGTCATGATCTCACTCACATTTCATGGCTTCGAGCCCCGCATCAGACTGTGTGCTGACAGCCAGCTCAGAGCCTGGAGCCTGTTTCAGATTCTATATCTCCCTCTCTCTCTCTGACCCTCCCCTGCTCACGCTGTGTCTTTCTCTCAGAAATAAATAAAAACATTTAAAAAAATTAAAAAAATAAAAATAAAAATAAAGATGTCTGTCGTAGTAAGTGAAAAAAAAATAAAGAACATGACGATAACCTTGCTCCCACACCAAAGGATATAAACTATGACCTTGGTTCTATATGAAAAAAGTCCATAAAACAGTGATAAAGGGTTAAGTAACAGTGATTATCTCTTTGGGAGATGGGATTACATACCAGAGCTTTCTGCAAAATAAAAAGATTTTTTATAATGAATAAAATAATTACTTTTGAGGTTGAAGAAAAAGTAACACATGTATATAGTCAAGGAAAAGCAGTCAGCATAGATAGTTCTAGCTTCTCAAGGCAAAACAGGCCTTTTTCTGGGAATCAAACAGTGTCATTATCACTTTATCTTTCAACCTGTTTCTTCCTAGCAACATGGGGTTGTGATATGCGTGCCCCACAGAGTTCTTTGTGGATTAAATGAGTCAGGAACCTGAAAGGGTAGTTTCAAAGCTACTATTTCAAGAGATCGGCAAAGACCCCCACCCCCACTTCCCAGGAATCAAGAATTCCTAACCCCCTCCAAGCTTACCTCCTCCACCGGGATGAAGGCGCTGGGCCCTCGGGGACCTCGCCGAGCCCGACTTCCCCTTTGCTCCTGGAAGGAAATACAGCGTGGTCATTGGAGGTAAAAGGGAGGACTAGGACGGGGCGCCTGGGTGGCTCAGTCGGTTAAGTGTCCGACTTTGGCTCAGGCCATGATCTCACGGTTTGTGGGTTCGATCTCTGCTTCAGGCTCTGTGCTGACAGTGAGCTCAGAGCCTGGAGCCTGCTTCAGATTCTGTTATCTCCCTCCCTCTCTGACCCTCCCTGCTTATGCTGCTCCCCCACCTCTCAGAAATAAATAAAACACAGTTTTTTTTTAAATTAAAGGGAGGACTAGGAGCATAGTTCGCCCTCCAGCTTTCTCCTCTTACCCAAGAGGTCACACTGAGATTTCCAAACCACTCTCTTGGTGCACCCTACATGGAGGACGCAGGTGGGAGATCTACACCTGATGGCAGTGGAGAAAGGGTAAACAAGAAAGAGGGCTCACACCACAGGGTGACTTCTTCCGGAACCGGGCAGGAACCCAGGAGCCCCAGTATTGGGTAGGAGGTGCATGGGGAAGGGAGATATACAGCCACCACGGTGAACATCTCTGGGAGGCCACCTTTTTAGCAGCCCTGGATATTCCGTACAAGAAACCCTCTCATTTGCATCCTGAAGCCGGGTTACCGAGTCCCTTAGATTCCTATGATACAGCCTCAGTTACTTTCAAATGCTCACTTCTTCACCTTCCCGTCATCACCACCTCATAGACTACTACCATCCCTTGTCCGATCACCTCCCACAGCCTCACCAAGGGTCTCCCAGCCTCCCTGGTCCTGCTGTCTCCTCCCCCTCCTCTACCATATTCACAAAATGAAGGAATAAAGAAAACGTCCTTCCTGAACTACACCTCTAGAACTAGGAGCACATTTAATGAGTCCACGACACTGGTGGTTTCCAGGAGGAACACCCTTCCAGAGCCAAAGGGAATTTTCTCAAGTGCAGATCTCATCAGAAGGCCTAAAACCCTGCCTCTAGCTCCCATTAGCCTTCCAGATAAATAAAAAATCAGTGGTTTAGGCCCACTGCTGTCCCACTGGTCACTCCTTTTGCAAAACTATCTGTCTTCCAGGCCTGGGAACCTTCTGATGACCCTCATCTGTCACCCCACAATTCCTGGTGCATTTGGTTCTGAAAACATTGTCTTCTAATTGTCTGATTCAGGTCTCCCTGATACCAGATCACATTCCGTAGAAGGCAGGGCCAGGCCGTTCATACTAATCTGTGAAGGAAGAAAACAGAGAGAGAGCGCAGAAGCATGGAGGGAATCCAAGCAGGGCACACAAGATGGGCAGTAGCAGCTATTCCGACGTCATGTATTGGAGGCTCTTTAGAAACCACCAGAGTCAGGGTGCGTGGGTGGCTCAGCGGGTTGAGTGTCTGACTTCGGCTCAGGTCATGATCTTGCGGTCTGAGAGTTTGAGCCCACATCAGGTTCTGTGCTGACAGCTCAGAGCCTGGAGCCTGTGGATTCTGTGTCTCTCTCTCTGCCCCTCCCCTGCTCATGCTCTGTCCCTCTTGTCTCAAAAATAAACATTAAAAAAAAAAAGAAAAAGAAAAAGAAAAAGAAGAAAGAAACCACTGGAGTCATATACTCCCTAAATCTGCTCCTAGTCTGAGAGGTGGGGTTCAGAGAGGATATTTATTCATTTGTTTTGACAACTGGGAGGAGGACTCTTCTCAGTACTGGCCTTGGAAACAGCTTACCAGAGTCACGCCCTCACTGGAGAGGGGTGTCCCCCTAACTCTCCCCTCCCCATTGGAAACTGGACTTAATATCAATCCCCAGGTGTCCAGGGACAAAAGATTGTAATTGAAACTTCCTTCTCAGATGCCCAAAAACCCCTTGAGGGAAGCAGAACTCTGAGGCTCTGAAAGACCACACAGAAAGAACAGGGGGATCTGGAAGTCTCAGGTCCGAGTACCAATTCTGTTACTAACTTGCTGTGTGACCCTGAGAAAGTGACCTAGACTTTCTGGGCCTCAATCTTGGACAAAAGAAGGTAGTTGGGCTAACTGCTCGGGCCCCTTTCAGCCCACACTTCTGGGAGCTACCAGGCCAGTCCGGTCCAAGTCCAGTACAGAAAATCACCACTCTCTCCAAGTACTCACTTTTAATCTCCCTCCTCCCTCACCAAGGGAAAGAAGCCTAACAGCTCGGTCTAGGAGATAAGGACTGCTGACTCCACAGTCTGGGCCTACCCCTCAGGGGACCGGAGGGCAGATAGAAAACCATAGCCTGGGGGTGGGGTGGGAAGGGGGACCTGGAGGGCCCCCCTAGGGTGCTGGGGAGGTACAAGGAACAGCCTTAGGAACCCTTTCTCTCTCTCAAATCTGCCCCAGGAACTGTCAAGGGAAGGGACTGATACCTTTCGGTGATAGGTCTGGACCCGCCAATATTTTCATTCCTAATTATGACGATGGTGACACCGTGATGATAATTATACAGTACAGTTGAAGCATAGGGTCTCTTGACTTAAACTGCCTGGGACCATATGACAACTCCGCCACCTATTATCTGCTGGCAATGTGAGCCTCAGTTTCCTCACCAAATAATAGGGATAATAGTACCCACTTTCACTGGGTAGTCATGAGGATTTAACAAGATAATACCTCTACAGCCCTTCCTCCAGCACACCAAGCACTGAACAAAAGTCAGTTATCGTTAATCTCATTGTAATTTCAAACAAGGGCTTCTCAACCCAAGCAGTACAAAATCCCTTTGAGAAGCTTTTAAAAAGATGCCAATGCCAAGGTCCCACCTCCAGTGATTCTAATTTAATTGGGTAGGGCCCAGCATGATTTACAGCTGGGGTGGAGGGCCATCGTTTCACACCATTTATTGATCATTTTCTCAAGTACAAGGCACTGTGTTAAGTGCGTCTCAGATGGAACCAGAATTAATCTGTTCACTCAACAAACATTTCTGATGACTATAAGGCAACAAGAGAACAGGAGTGAAAAGACAGTCTTAGCCCTCACAGAATTCATGGTCTAAAGGAGAATGACAAACGATGAATAGGATTTCAAATCATAGATTATACAAAGTAAATGAAAAAGAACAACGAGAGTGTACGATGGAGTGGGGGTGTGCAATGTATTAGTCTGAGGAGACCGGGAGAGCTATGGAGGAGAGAACCTTTGAGTTGCTAACTAAATACCAAATATCTAAATGAGTTGATGAGAAAGCAGCAGGGCCCATAAAGATCTAGGGGATCAGCATTCCAGCCAAAGGGAACAGAAAATACCAAGGCCTGAAGGCAAGACCGGGGAGATTCCAATCCAGAGCTCCAATACCCCAAAAGTTTCTCTGAACTTGATGCCCAGAACTCCGGGGAAGCAGACAGGGCAGGGTCCCACTGCCCAGAGAAGATGCCCCCAAATCAGCCCTCCCCTATTTCCTAGGGTAGGAAGTCAATAATCATGGTAGGTAACAAAACTGATTACCATCAGCTAAGCATTTTACATGCATTTAGGGTAAGATCTCCTCCTCCACCTTCCATTTTACAGACAAGGAATAAGGCTCTGAGAGATCAAATCAGGCTTTGCACCTGGGGTTCACCAGAAGCTTCTCCTCCCTGCCCACGTTCCCAGGGATCCTCTGCTCCCAGTCACTGCACCTGTTGCACTGTGTTGTTTCTGACTTCGAGGGCACACACTAGATCCGGCTCCCTGTTACACCAGTGACACTGAAGTCCCTCTGGGTGGCCCCTGAACAGCCAGGCAATTGTGAAGAGGATCACCCCCCACCCCCTAAGCTCAAAGCCTGGCTCCTAATTTAAACATTCACTAAATGCTAATTTGCACATAGGCATTATAAACTCCTCAGTTTTGGGGGTGGGGGTCTCTTTGTTGCCCACAAAGAAAGATTAAGGTTCCAAAGGTTAAGCACCAGCTGACAAGTGGCCAGCCTGACATGTGCGCTCAGTTCGCTTTGGCTTCTAAGGGTTCTCTCCATCATCCACATCAGCCTCTTGGAATAGCCCCAGCCTTATTCTCAGTCTTCTATCCAGAGCCTGCAACCCCCAGGACTCAGCTCCAGATACCTATGAGCTCAACTCTGCCAGCTGGGACTGGGAGAGGCTCGTCCCCAGCCCCACCCTGTGCGCAGCTGCCCGCAGAACTCGGATCCTTGCCTGGGTTTCCACATGGGAAGGAGACATAGAGCTCAAGCAGCCTCTTACCTCCAAGCCTTGGAAGAAGGCGGTGTGAGAGGCGCCATGGGCTGGGCACTAGGCTAAGGGCTTCATACATCTGATCTGGCTGATTTCTACAACTATCCTGAGGGAAATAGGTCTTATTATTCTTTCTTCAGCGACAGCTCATTGAGGCAATCTCTGAGTCCTGTTCCAGACACGGACAGCTCAGATCTGACTTTAAAGCGTGTGCAGCTCACAAGTGTCAGCTAAACCAACAGGGACAAAGAGTTACAAGCCCTGAGTAGGAGGCTAAGAACAGTGGGGATGGGGATGTGACCTACAGACTGTTTCCAGTCCAGCCAAGGAGACACACAAAACGCCCGAATACGGGGCTGTTGAATAGGGGGCTGTTAACGCTATGGTTGGGATTAAAGCTCCAACAACTAAGAAGATGGCCTGAAGGAGGGAACGCAGAAAGGACCTATCGGGTGGGGAAGGGAAAGCTTCCCTGAGGAAGTGATGTTTGAGGAAGTGATTCTAGAGCCCAATAGGACTCTGAAAACATACTCCAGTCCTGGAGTGAAGTCCTAGAGTCTGTAGACCTTGACCCCTTTAGGTTAAGGGCATGTGGTGAAAGGAGGAGAGTTCAGAGGACTGTACGTTTGGGTCTCTTTCCTTGGGCCCCCCGCACTAGGGACTGTAAGTCCAGCGCCCTGCTGTCTTCTAAGGATTCTGTTTAAAGTAGACATCTTCCCAAAGTCTTTTCTTGAGAGAAAAAGAAAAAGCATGTGGAAAGCGTTCAGATATCAACATCTTTCTCCTGCTGCTGACGGTGGCTTCCATCTAAAGGCCACTCTTTCAGAGCCTACCCAGACTACCTGAGGCACTCTCTTCTCCCCAGGCCACTTCCCAGGCACTCAGAGAGGGATGGGCCAGCTCTCACCTCAGGCAGGAGGGACAGGTTCAGGCACCCCATTGTGACACACTCTGGGGAAAGGGAAATGACCACATTCTAACAATACCAAGCATATCTGACTCAGTTACTCTGTTGCAGGCACTGTGCTTCAGCCTTTGCTAGTATTGTCATTTTTCCCAACAACCCTCAGAGATATGATCAAATTTCCATGGGAAGAAGTTGCAGATCAGAGAAGTGATAACTTGGCGATGGGCACACAGCCAGTGATGGGAGGACTGGGGCTGGAACCTGGACACGCTCCCCTCTAGTGGCCAGGCGCTCTCAATAACACGATTTCCAGCTCCCACCCCCACCCTCCAAGAAAAAAATGGACTCAGGGTAAAGTGACTTCGTCAAAGCCACTCAGCAGAGAAATGGCAGGCCTGCACTTCATTCCTCCACATTGGGGCTCCTAAACCATGATGAGGAAGAGTAAACAAACCCACAGAAAACCCAGGACACAAACCATCCACTGCTGGGGGTAGGACCCCCAGAAACCATGCAGATCAGAGAAGGGCAGCGATTTCCCTAGGGTCACACAGGACTAGCGCTGGTCAAGACTCCCAGCCTCAGGAATACACTTGCTCCACGCTCCAGGCCTGGAAACGAAAACTTTCTGTAGTGCCAAGCACACTAGGGAATCCTAGAGACGCCCAGGCCGAAGAATGAGCTACTTGGTGGCATGAGTGAAGGGGAAGTCTCTCCGTAGCTCTTCCCAGGCCTCAATTTCCTCATCCTGGAAAATGGGGCTATAGTGTAGCTCATATTTTGCTACATTAGTCCTGAAGACTCAGAGAAAAGGCAAAACCCGCAGACTAGAATCTAGTACGTGTTTAAAAAATGGTAAGATGTCCACAGTCGACGGCGGTGGTGGTGATGGGGAGGGAGCAGGAGCTGCGTCAGGTTAGGCCCAGCCTATTCCTAGCTTCGACGCAAAGAGTCCCGGCGAAGCAAACTTCTGGGACCCGAGGCCACTTAGCAGGGCGCAGGCTAATCGCCACCTGCCTTCGGGAGCCCAGTCCAGGGTTTCTCCCCCTCTCCCCCAGCTTTGACCGCCGCCGCCGCCGCCGCGTACCCGGCAGCTGGCCAAGGCCCGGGAGCGCCCGCTACCCCCGGCTTCGTATCGGGGGTGCAGGTGTGGGGGGGGACGAGGTCGACCTCGGTCGGCAAGTCCCAGGTGCTCCTATCCCAGTACTGGGAGATTGGCCCGAGGACGTATCCTAGAAAGAGTCCTCCGTCCGCCAGCCCCGGCCCAGAGGAAGGGAATCTGCGGAAGGGGGCGGGGAGGAGGAGTGGTCGGGCCGCGGCGACCGGGATTTGCCTGGACTTGAAGATTCTCCTGCAGAGAGCCCAAACCCGAGATAACCTCGAGAAGGCTCCTCTCCTATTGGCCAGGAGTCCGAGGGAGCCAGGGAAGGTTCCACAACCCCGGGGGGAGGGGGCCGAGGCTGCCAGTTGATGCAACCCCATTCCTAGGTTACGCGCCTCCATTCCCCCTCCCCGAACGCGAGCCAGGGTGGGGGAGGGGGAGGGGGGCGAGCACAGGCTCAGCCCGGGACAGCCCCGAAGCCTAGCGGCGGCTCGGGGCTCAAGCGAAGAGTGGCGTCGCTCCAGCGCTGCTTACCTCCCCGGCCCCAGGGCCGCCGCCGCCGCCCGGGGAGAATGGCAGGTAGCCCTTCAGCTGCGCGCCGCACTCGGAGTCTGCAACGATCATGGTGTGTGCCAGGACACGGCCACGGCTCGCCGGCGACCTGTGCAACCGAGGGGGTTTTGGACAGACGCACGCAGGAAGCCGGGACTGGGGGCCGCTGGGGAGGTTCTAGAGCCCCGGGGTGTCTCTCGGGGTTCCAGAACGCTACGAAAGCCCAGAATCAGGGAACTGCCGCTGCTCCGCTGGACTCTCGCCTCGGCCGGCTTCAGGAGCGGGGAATGGCCTCAGGAACCTGGGATTGGCGGCGGCCCAGGGGTTTCACGGCCCGGAGTGCCTCGGAAGTCCGCAGTGGCCACGGCTGCTCGTCAACCCAGCGCTCCTCAGCATCCCCGCCGCGGAACTGCCAACGCTCGCCGGGCTCTGACACCAGCAGAGCCGCTCTGCCTGCTGCGGTCCTCGGGGGAGGGCGGGGATACGAAAGCCCCGCGTCGCAGCCAATCAGATGCCTGTTTCTCGGGGAGGCGGGGACGACACCTCCCCTTGGAGCCGACAGCTCGGCCAATCGGCACCGGGAAGCGACGGGGAATTCTGGGAGCTGTAGTCAGCCCAGGATGAATGCTGCAAACTTTCGCAAAAGGGTTTAATCAGATCGTTGGTAATTTCAGATGAGAGTGACAGCCAGGAGAGTCATTACAGCTGCATGATGAAACGGGACTTCACCGGGTTGGGCCGGAGAGCTGGGTGTGAAGTCCCTCCCAAGTACGTTCCTTAGTTTTTCAGTTCCTGCAGGGACTGGTTATGGGTAGGAGAGGTGGTGCTAATTACAGAGCCAAACCCCAGATATTTGGAGATTAGAGCAGAGCCCTGTCCCCCTGGCCTCCGGGAGAGCTCCACCTTAAAATGTACCAGGCACGGGGAACCCATCGTATTTGTGGGGTCCCTGGAAAAGCCTTCATTCATTGAAAGGTCCTTGGCAACCTCATGTCTAACCTCAATCCCTATTGCTGCAGTTTCTTCTGCTTCCTTGGGGCCTCCAGTCTTGTCTTCATTTCGGCCACTCCCTTTCTAGAAACTTTGAGACAAGGTGTTCTACTGGGTCTTCTCTCACATCTCTCTCTGGCCACTCCTTCTCTGACTCCTCTTTCTCCTCCCACCCCCTGGAACGTGGGTGTTCCCCAGTTTCTGTTTTTATCCCTCCTCTCTCCAGACACTCTCTGATCTCATCCATTTCCTGGCCTTCAGTGCCCCATTTGGGAATAAGTTGCTTCTACCAGCACTTCTACCAGCGCCTCAAAAGTGAATTCATCTCCTGTTCCTTCCCACAGTCTCTTCCTTGACAGTTTTTCTTTAGAACTCCATTTTTTGTTTCCATCTTAAAGTCATTGTTTACTCTGGATAGAGAATCCCAGGAGCGAGGGTGGGCTATAAGACCGCCAAGGTCCCCTCTGAGACTTTCTGAGAGTAGGCTTACCACTCCAAGGATGACCCTCTAATTTGGTCTCCTGCCTCCAGCCTCTTGGAAGAAGGAAATGAATTTCACCCTCTGCTGAGCAACCAAGGAGGCACTTGGGCTGGGGCTCTATTATTAGAACACGTATCCCACTCTACCTTGCATTGTAATTTTCTGTGTACATGTCTTTTTATTAATGTTTATTTATTTATTTATTTTTGAGACAGAGAAAGAGAGAGAGGGACAGACAGAGATAAAGGAAGAGAATCCCCAGTAGGCTCCATGCTGTCCGCAAAGAGCCCCAGGGGGGGCTCATGAATCTCTTGAATCCTGACATCATGACCTGAGCTGAAATCTAGAGACAGAGGCTTAAGGACTGAGCCACCCAGGCACCACTGTGTGCATGTCTTATCTGACACTCTTGATTATAAGCTCCTTGAGGGAAGGGTCCATGTCTTGAAATCTTTGTCTCTGCCTTCTGCCATCTGTCTTGCCAATAATATGCCCTTGGTGACCGAATCTCTCTTTGAATTGAATTCCCCTGTAAATCCCCATATGTCAGATTCAGTTTCATTTTTATTTTTTAAATATTCATTTATTTATTATTTTGAGAGAGGGAGGGAGAGAAAGAATCCTAAGCAGGCTTCACTCTCAGCTTGCCGAGCCGATGCAGGGCTCAGTCTCATGAACTATGAGATCATGACCTGACCCAAATCAAGAGTCCTGCATTCAACCAACCAAGGTACCCAGGGACCCCTCAGCTTTCATTTTTTAAAATCTACCCTGTAGTTAGTGTCAGTGTTTAGATTTAAAAAAAAAAAAAAAATGTTACCGGTATGTCATCAACTAAGAATAAAGGTCAAACCTCTAGACTGATAGTATCTTCCAAGATCTGCTTCATTCTACCTTTCCAGTCTTATCACCTGCCACATCCATGTTTCTTGTTTGGCGTTCAAACCTTTCTTCCAGTAGTTCTCTCGGCAAATCTCTGCCCACTGAAATCCTACCCAGCATGCAATGCTTTCATGCCTGTTTTGTGGCCTGAATGAAGCCTTCAAAAATGCCACTTCCTACAGAAAGGGTTGCTTTTTCGGCTCAGCTGAAAATAATCTCTTCTACTCTTTCATTCCTCAACACATTGTTTCTACGTATTTACACCACTGATCTTCAAATGTGATGCAGCCTTGTTACCTCTGCATGTCTTACTCATTCCTTTCAGCTAACAATGGAATATGTGATTGATCACTTTTGCAGAATGAGGAAACTTGAGCTCAGAAAGGTAAAATTTCATGTCAGTGTCATATATCTTCTTTTGACTGCACCAGGCTGTGGAAGAACTCCTTTGAGGCGGTGTCTAATTGCTTTTGTACCCCCCACTAACATGTAGTGGGTCCTCAGCAAATGTTTTTGAATAAATATGAGTTACTCTCCTCTGTAGAATAATCCCTTAGAATCTTCAAGGAAATGACTAAATTATTCCCAAGGCTTCACTTGCAAAGTTAGTGGTTTTGTGAAAAGAAAAAGCAAAGGATACAAATATTCTCAATTTGATGAGCTTTTGTGACCCAATCTGTAAGGAAAGAAAGCTCAGAAGAGACACAGCTACTACCATTTACTGAGCTCAAACAATAGTCAAGGATGTATCTATTATTTCGTGTAACTCTGACTACAACCTGGTGAGGTATGGGTTATGCCCTCATTTGGCAGATGAGGAAACTGAGGCTTGAGAGGTTTGTTGGCCAAGATAGCTTAGTAATGTGTTGAGTAAGGACTTCAAGGTAGGAATGACTCCAAAGCAGAAACTACATACACCATGGATGAGAGAAGGGCCTGAATTGTAAGAAGCACTCTGGCACAGGGGCGCCTGAGTGGCTTAGTCAGTTAAACGTCCAGCTTCAGCTCAAGTCATGATCTCATGGTTGGTGAGTCCTGCATCAGACTCTGTGCTAAATGCTTGCTCAGAGCCTGGAGCCTGCCTCAGATTCTGCATCTCCTTCTCTCTCTGTCCCTCCCCGCTCGTGCTCTGTCTCACTCTATCTCTCAATAAATAGATAAATGTAAAAAAAAACAAAAAACAAAAAAAACGAAAAAACACTCTGGCACAAGGAAGTAATTCATAAAGTAGAATTATAATATATTCATTGGGAGTGATGAATATAATTGTCAAGTGGTCTATAATTGTATAATTGGTGGGCCAGGACCATCCCTCTTTATAGGACAGGCTCCATGAAAAGCTAAGTTCTCATTTGAAGGTGGCCAGGGCGGTTGAAACCTGAGCAAAAGAAACCAGTGAAAAGATGAATCGCTGAACCAGCTCCACTCAGATCAAACCTGCTGGTCGGGGCTCTCACTTCTTCCCTCTCTCTTTTATTTAGTAAATATTTATTGACCATCTAGTATGTACCAAGCACTATCCTGGGCTCTGAAAAATCCAGCAGTGAAGCTTCTTGCCCAGTAGGTAATGGCCGGGTGACATGGGCTGGGCTTATTCCTCCCCTCCCCCACACCTTGTATTTTTGGTTCAGTAAAGATCTCCACCTCCTGTTGCCATACTCACTCGACTCTTGCATCAGCTATGTTGAGGCCACTGATTGGCCAAAGCTATTTTTATTCTTCAATCACATTCCAGTCCTGAAGATACATCTAGATCGGATTTGAAATGTTTTTGAGGTTTCTTTACTTTCAGACCCTCTCACAGATTTTAACCTTAATGGGATTCTCTTTTGTTCTGTATTCATTCTTCCTGAATTAATTTTCTAATCCCTAATCCTGGAATCACTCTGCTATAATAACCTTGTACCCTGACCATACCTGGGGCTGTGATTTATGACCCCAGAGGTAATCTTCTGTGCTCTTTTTATTATTTTCTCACACACACCCTCCCAGCCCCCAGCTCAGAATACAATTCCTGCCTTGGGGGAGCTTTTAGGGAAGAAACCAAACTCCAACGGGTTCGATAAAGCCAAAAGCAGACCCACCCTCCAAGGCTCAGGCATACATTCCTCCATTTAATTACTCATTAAGCAGGCATTGTGCTAGTGCCCAGAAAGAATCTTCTGGCTCACAGGTCCTGAGCTGTCAAAGCCTTACAGCAAAATTGAAGTTGTGTCCTGGAGTTGTGCTTTAGAGGTAGAACAACCACAGACTCTGAGAAACAAAGCCAACTGCCTCCTAAGACCGCTGCCCAGGAGTCAGGCACCTAGGTGCTAGCTTTTAGCCATATGACCCAAAGCGATATACATATCTTAGCTTTTAGAATTTGTTTCCTTATCTGTACAACAAAGGAACTGAAATGAGCTCTACACCTTCAGAGCCACTGTAAAGGGATTTGGGCAAGGTGTATAATTCAGTTTCATCCATTGTATACTTCAGGTTTCAAAAGCTCATCCCTCTTAGTAAATAAAATACAAAAATTGACCAGCTAGGTTCTTTTGGATAATTAAGAATTTCAATTTGGTTTTATCGGCTGAGCGAGCCCTCAGCGCCCCCTACAGGCGAGACTCTGCTACAGTTCAGAAAGGACCTGGGGAAAGAGGGTGGATTGAGGGCCATCTCGAACCGTTTTGAGTTTACAGGATTATCCGGTCCCATGTCACGCCTGAAGGTCCTGAGAAGAGTCCAGGCAACAACTAAGTAAAGAGTGTGTGGTTGCTGAGGATTCCTCTGATGCTGGTATAGACCATGCTCCCAAAGACCTCCCAACTTGAAGCTACTTCCCGTTGTTTTGGCTTACTCTTTCATCTTAAAGACAGGAAGCCTGAGGGCCCCCAGAAGGTTAGCCACAGAGCAGAGACTAGAACCTTAGTCCAGGCCCCTACTGCAGGGTCGCTTGCATCATTATAGGCAGCTCTGGGAGCTTCCCATTTCCAGGAAAAAACTGGCTTTTCTCGCTGCTCTCTTCCTCTTCCCCTCTCTCCACCCTGAGGCCGGTGCTTAGAGTAATGTTTCCAGCCCTAGCAACCGTCCCTTCCTGTCTCTTCCTAT